GGCCACGTCCTTTAGGACACAGACTAGTTTTTTTCGTGTGTGTTTATCTTCCCTCGGTTTGTTTTTTTGTCTTGTTCTTTTTCGTTGGTTTTTCGTGTTTTGTTGTCGGGATCTTTTTAAAAAAAATCTTTTTCTTTGGTATATAAATATTTGTTTTGTTTTCATTTTTGTTATATTATTATTGCTTTGTGTGTGCAAGGGGGGGGGGGGTCATTACTTAGAACAGATGGGTCATTTTGAAAAGTTGCGAAATTTGCCAGTTCTATTTTATCAGGAAGGAAATAATTATGAAGGAAATAGTTTTCACACCCAACAATATTTGAGTTTTGACTTCCCTGTGTGTTATAAAATCCAACGATTCAACTAAAGCAGAGGTGGGGTTGTACACCTTTTGCGAATGTACAATAGGAGGGAAATACTCTCTAACATAACCCCTTCCCGTCCCCCCCTCCCCCGCCCTTTTTTTTTTGGTGTTTTTTTTTTGTTCGTGGGTCCATAAAAGTCGCTAAAAATGACGTCGTTGATCCAGTGGTTGGGCTGTCGGGCTCGTAACTGAAAGGACAAGAGTCTGAGGATCTGTCCTTGGAAAAGGCATTTTACAGGTATTTTCCCCCACTTCACCCACGGAATATTGTGTCAGTCCATTAGTTTTTGAGCGACAAATCGGCTGCTTACACTGTGTGTTTTTTGGGAAGCCAAGAACGTTTCTAAGTGTTTTACAGACTGCTGGGGCTATAAAAATTGTAAAGCATTGTAAAGAATGCTACAGATTGTAGAACATTGGTGTGCACTACATAGAAGAAATTAGTATTATACATAACTATAAAATTGATCGGATATAAGGAATGCGTATTAATTACAATCTTTGTTATGCTCTTATCTGAGGTATGGCCCATCACCATGGCTTGGTGGTTTGGACTTGACTGACTTGCGAAGTGTCAACTGTGCAACCTCCATGTCTTCATGGATGGAAAACATGGGAACATGAAAGCACTGGGAAGTAAATTCAAGTTTAAATATGTAGGCCCCATCCAGTTTTCGCGAGAAAGTTGTAATTTCTCTTGGCGAATATTTGACGTTCGCGAACTCCGAACCGTGCCAAAATAGCTTTACGGAAATTCCCTTAAAGCTTTCAATATGAATTTGTTTCCTCCAGGCTAGTAATTTCCACGAGTGAATCTGAAATCGATAAATTGCCTTAAATTAAAGGCCTTTGGAAACAAGCTGTTTTATAGTATGAGTGTTAGAGGCTCAAAGGTTGAAATTCTAGGTGGTAGTAAAATGTATTATTTGAGCTTTTATAAAAACACTCTGACCAAAAATCGACTGGCAAGTTGAGGGGACAGAATGTATAGAAGCAACAGATATGTGGTTGCTTAGGACACTATTGAGACTTTCTTGAAAGGAAAAGTTTTCAAATGAGGCAGTCCTGAAAGAAGCATGCGTTGGCTGATCACTAATAAAAACATTTTTTTAAGAGGGCCAAATACCGTTTTTGAGTTACTGAAATCAACATTAATGACTTGAGCATCCTCCTCTCACTGAAAAATAGAAGGGAAACTAGGCAAAAATAGACCAAGAACAACTTTCTTAGTGAACCAAAACAGAAGTGTGACAGGGGACCACTGAGGTTACATAGGTTTTTGAGAGCATTCAAGCAAAGAAATTAATAGCAAACCATGATCACATACCAAAGTCTGTTTCAAATATGACATATCTTGATGATGATTGCTACTTCTGAAGGCTAATTGACTACTGACCCTGTTACAAAAGACAATACATATATACAAGAGAGAGGGAGGGGGGCCAATACTGCAAGTTCCCACCCTCTCTCCACACCCAGCTCAAAACGAGAAAAAAAAATTCGTCTACACACATATTCACACACACACACACACACACACACACACACACACACACACACACACACAC